TGAGAAGGCCCTGTCTCTCGTCCCAGTTGTTCCTGTGAAGAAGGCAAGACCGTGAGCAGAGCCTCCCCAGACAATCTTAAACTCTTAGATGGTTCATAGGGAGAGATATGTTCAGACAGGTAAGCTGGGCTGGAAAGTTTAGAGCTTTATAAGCTAAAACCAGCACTTTGAATCGTGCCAGGTAGCAAACCGGCAGCTGCTCCCGTGAGCAATCTGGCTGCAATCTGGGAGCAATCTGAATGCAGCTAAAATGAGACCTCTCTCCCTTTGTCCTTATTTCACCTAAGAATTTGCATTGAAGCATCACATGAACTCTATCTTTAATATTTTTATTACTTTATTTTATTGAACTATATGAATTAGAAGGCAGATCAGCATGAACTCTAATTACTTAGACGATCCCTCATTGTCAGAGTAGGATTGTCTTCCAAGATCGGTGTACTAGCGGTGGGTACGTAGGTGACTGTGGAGCCCTATTCTTGATCTGCATGTTCTCCTGCAGTGAGGGCATTGGTTTCCAGGTGGAAGGCGGTCCTGGTCAGGGTTGGCTTGACGCTCCTTCCTCTTGGCACATTTCTCTCTTTCACCCTGCTCTTCAAATTCTACAGCACTGCTGGTCACAGCTGACCTCTAGCTGGAGCGCTCAAGGGCCAGGGCTTAACCTCTTGAGCAATCTGAGCCATTCCAGATACTCCTTCCACACCCTATGTGGGAAACAGGGACAAGACATAATCTGTTGGACAAGGAGTCTTCATGGATACCAGTGGGAGGCCATCTGCTTGCCACCCTGAACTTCCCCTTTGGGGATCTCAGCTGTCCGCTGGATAAAGGTTCAGGAAGAAACTCTGATTACACTCTCATCTTCACTTGACATTTCTGGGATCTTTTCTTTATCTTCTCAGCATGGGAGGATGTCTGGAGATCCACTGCTCATTGTCCTTACATCCAGGACCCAGTATCTGCATAATCCCATCATTTATCTTTTTGGATTCTCATTGTCTTCAGCATTCCATTGCTATACAACCAGGTTGGATACAACCCCTTGGAGATCACCTCCAGTAACCACCTCCATTAGCCCATTGGGAGCCCCAGGGCTTCCCCGCATCACTGCCACCTGCACCAAGTTAATTTATACAATTACAATGCATAAAAACCACAAACAAAGTTAAAAACTTGGCATTATGCTAAATTTCCGTTGACCACTTCTAGTGCCTCTGATGTCACTGTAAGAAGGTCCTCCATTGTGCATGTGGCAGGGCACAGACTGCATTGTAGTAATGCAGGTTTGTTCTTCTCCACATGTGCATGTCATGGACTCCACTTTGTAGCCCCATTTCTTAAGATTGGCTCTGCATCTTGTGGTATCAGCGCGCAGCCTGCTCAGTGCCTTTCAAGTCGCCCAGTCTTCTGTGTGCCCAGGAGGGAGTTTCTCATTCAGTCTCAGCCATTGATTGAGGTTCCAAGTTTTAGCCTGCTACTTTTGCACTCTCACTTGCTGAGGTGTTCCTAAAAGTATCTCTGTAGTTCTTAGAAAACTATTTATTGATTTAAGACGTTGGTATGCTGGCTGATATCCAAACAGAAGATGGGCTGAGAATGTCAATGCCTTGGTCCTTTCTTTACTAGTTGCTATTTCAGGCAAATATCAAGTGGTGCAATAGTGGATAAACAACATAATTTCTCCAACGGCATAGGGGGTAGACATCTGTGATAATGTGGCATGTCTCATTAAGAGCCACATCCACTGCTTTAACGTGGTGAGATGTATTCCACACTGGAAACGCCTATTCAGCTGCAGAGTAGCCAATCTCAAGTGCAGTGATAATATAATACTTTAAATTTTCTAGATGCCTTTTCTAGATGTCCTAGTCATTCGTAAACCAGATCAACAGTTGGGTCACACCATCTACAGAAAACCCACACACACAGATTGATATCTACATAAAAACTCCAACCATCACCCAAGTAAAAAAAGAAGCACCATTAAAGCCTTGGCAGACCGTGCAAAAAGAATCTGCGAACCCCACCTCCTCCAAGATGAACTGAACCACCTAAACTGGGCTCTACAGGCCAATGGATACTCCATCTCAGACATCAGAAGAGCTGCAAGACCAAGAACAAGCCACGAGAGCAAAGATGAAGATCCACCCAGAGGAAAAGTGTTCCTGCCATACATCAAGGGAACCACTGACCGCATAGGGAAACTGATGAGGAAACACAACATACAAACAATCTACAGACCCACCAAGAAAATCCAACAAATGCTACATTCAGCAAAGGACGAGAGGGATCCTCTCTACCGTATTCCATGCAGCTGTGGACAAGTCTACATAGGGACCACCAAACGCAGCGCCCAAACACGAATCAAGGAACATGAAAGGCACTGCAGACTACTTCAACCAGAGAAGTCAGCCATAGCAGAGCACCTGATGAACCAGCCTGGACACAGCATATTACTACATATTACTACACAGAGAAGCCATTGAAATCCACAAGCATGTGGACAATTTCAACAGAAAGGAGGAGACCTGAAAATGAACAAAATCTGGCTACCAGTATTAAAAAACTCTAAAATTACAACAGCAAAACAGCAGAGAGGAAACAACCAGGCACATCTTAACACCTCTCAACAAAAGATTTCCCCAGGCTCAGCCAGGCCTTCAAATGCTAATGAAGGTGGTCAGTGGAAACATTCACACCTAGCTCCAGCAGAGGAGAGCTCTTTGCCCCACCCCAGTCATTCCACAGATATATAAACCCATTTTCCTAATTCCAACAGACCTCACTACCTCTGAGGATGCTTGCCATAGATGTAGGCGAAACGTCAGGAAACAATGCCTCTTTTATTTATCGTGTCATCAGCAACCATTGTATCACAATTCTAACAGAGAAAACAAACATACAGATTAAAAAGAAAAAGGAAAAAAAACACACAGATTTTGCAAATTTGGTATTTGGTTAAATGTCCTTTGACCAGTATCTGGCCACTTGGAGTGCCTCTGGGGTTGCCGCAAGAAGGTCCTCCATTGTGCATGTGGCAGGGCTCAGGGTGCATTGCAGCAGGTGGTCAGTGGTTTGTTCTTCTCCGCACTCGAATGCCGAGGATTCCACCCTGTAGCCCCATTTCTTAAGATTGGCTCTGCATCTCGTGGTGCCAGAGCGCAGTCTGTTCAGCGCCTTCCAAGTCGCCCAGTCTTCTGTGTGCCCAGGGGGGAGTCTCTCATTGGGTATCAGCCATGGATTGAGGTGCTGGGTTTGAGCCTGCCACTTTTGGACTCTCGCTTGCTGAGGTGTTCCAGCGAGTGTCTCTGTAGATCTTAGAAAACTATTTCTTGATTTAAGTCGTTGACGTGCTGGCTGATACCCAAACAGGGAATGGGCTGGAGATGTCTCTGCCTTGGTCCTTTCACTATTGGCTGCTACTTCCCGGCAGATGTCAGGTGGTGCAATACCGGCTAAGCAGTGTAATTTCTCCAGTGGTGTAGGGCGCAGACACCCGTGATAATGCGGCATGTCTCATTAAGAGCCACATCTACTGTTTTAGTGTGGTGAGATGTGTTCCACACTGGGCATGCATACTCAGCAGCAGAGTAGCATAGCGCAAGGGCAGATGTCTTCACTGTGTCTGGTTGCGATCCCCAGGTTGTGCCAGTCAGCTTTCGTATGATGTTGTTTCTAGCGCCCACTTTTTGCTTGATGTTCAGGCAGTGCTTCTTGTAGGTCAGAGCACGGTCCAGAGTGACTCCCAGGTATTTGGGTGTGCTGCAATGCTCCAGTGGGATTCCTTCCCAGGTAATCCTCAGAGCTCGGGATGCTTGTCTGTTCTTAAGGTGAAAGGCGCATGTCTGTGTTTTAGATGGATTAGGGATCAGTTGGTTTTCCCTGTAATAGGCAGTAAGAGCACCTAGAGCAGGGGTCCTCAAACTTTTTAAACCAGGCCACAGTCCCTCAAACTGTTGGAGGGCCGGATTCTAATTTGAAAAAAAAACATGTATGAATTCCTATGCACACAGCACATATCTTATTTGTAGTGCAAAAAATACTTTAAAACAATACAATAATTAAAATGATGAACAATTTTAACAAATATAAACTTATTAATAATTCAATGGGAAGTGTGGGCCTGCTTTGGCTAATGAGATAGAATTGTTGTTGTGTGCTTTCAAGTAATTTCAGACTTAGATTGACCCTGAGTGAGGGCCGGGTAAATGACCTTGGAGGGCCGCATCCGGCCCCCGGGCCTTAGTTTGAGGACCCCTGACCTAGAGCTTCGGAGAGCTTCTGTTCAACCATCTCAAAGCTCCCTGCTTGAGCAGTAATGGCACGATCATCAGCATAGATGAAACTCTCTGTCCCTTCTGGCAGTGGCTGGTCATTTGTGTAGATGTTGAACAATGCCTCTAGAACATGGCCATATAGCCTGGAAAAACCCACAAGAACCTACTTTAAATTTGTTTCTAACTGGAACTTCCGGTTGTTTTCTCCATGTTTGGAGGATGTTTCATGGCATGAAACACGAGTCTTCAGAGGGAGCCTTCCTGTGTTTACTCATCCAGATTCACACTGCAGGGCTGGTATTTTCCAGGGCTGGGAAGAAAGCTCTATTGCCAAGGCACTCTTTCACTGCCAAGTTGGCAGGGAGACCAAGTTGGGAGCTTCGTGAAAGCCTTGTTTTTCCAATACGACACCGCCTGATAAGGCAAAGCTGAAAAAAATTAATGGACAAGGCCAAAATTAGACTCCTCCCCTTTGGTCATAGGAGCTCCTTTGATGAATCTTCCCACATCACGGACACCCCACAAATCCTCTTTTAGAAAAACCCTCCCCCGCCTTTTCCACCAGCCCTGGAATGTACTACAACGGGGCGGGGGGGGGGGGGGGGGGAAGGAGGAAAGAGTACTCCCTCCTCGAGTGACTCCCTCTTACTCCAATCAAAACCAGGGGTTTTACGAAATCCTCCAATCTCTTTAGCCGCTCCCTTTGGGGGGCGGGGCGAACTTCGGGGAGGCGCCAGACGTTCAGCTAGGCGCTTCAGTCTTTGCTTGGAAGCCTGACATGGTCGGAAGAGGAGAGGCGAAGCGCGTCTAGAGAAAGGCAAAAGCAGGACCAGGGATGGTTTGGTGAAACCGAAGAAGGAGCGAGGCCTTGAGGCACAACTTTCCCCAAAGTTCGGCTTGGGTAAGTGACTTTTCTGAAGAGGGAAAGCAACGCATTGTTTATCCAGGAGCTGCTTTTCTTTTAGGCTCTTGATCCGGTTGATCTTACAACAGGAAGTGCAAAGTTGAGACTCTTGGTGGAGCTTGGAAAAAAAGGAGAGAGAGAGAATGGGAAAGCCTTTTTCAGACTGACTGTAACGTTGGGGTGCGTCTATATTGTTGGATTTGATGAGCTTTGGCACCACTTTAGCTGCTGTGGGGTCACAGGAGTTGGAGTTTGGGTGAGGCACCATCACCCTTTAGCAAAGAAGGCTTCAGACTTTACAAAACTATACATCCCAGAATGTCACGGCAGTTTAAGTGAGATCAAACTGCATTAATTTTATAGTGTAGATACATCGCAACCTTGGAGAATTGTGGAGGAATTAGTCAGAGGTAAGGGGCACATTTCAGAGTCCTGGACAGTTTGTTTGAATTATTGTGTGTGCATAGATGATAATTTTTAAAAAGAAGCATATATACAGGCAGATAGGAATATGAGAAACTAAGACTAGAAAGGGTGAGTTTGGGAATAAGTGAGAAAATGCAATGCTTGGGATCATAAGTGTTTTTGATTTAGGATATTTTTCTATTTTGGAATAGCTGTATTTATAGATTATACTTATAGATTTATTTATTTATTGTATCAGTAGCAACCAGACAATTGTATTACATTTTAAACAAATTTTTAACAGACAAAACACAGAATTTGCAAGCTTGGTAGTTGATTAAATGTCCTTTGACCGGTATCTGGCCACTTGGAGTGCCTCAAGTGTTGCCGCAAGAAGGTCCTCCATTGTGCATGTGGCAGGGCTCAGGTTGCATTGCAGCAGGTGGTCAGTGGTTTGCTCTTCTCCACACTCGCATGTCGTGGATTCCACTTTGTGGCCCCATTTCTTGAGGTTGGCTCTGCATCTCGTGGTGCCGGAGCACAGTCTGTTCAGCGCCTTCCAAGTCGCCCAGTTTTCTTGTGCCCAGGGGGGAGTCTCTCATTTGGTATCGGCCATTGATTGAGGTTCTGGATTTGAGCCTGCCACTTTTGGACTCTTGCTTGTTGAGGTGTTCCAGTGAGTGTCTCTGTAGATCTTAGAAACTATTTCTTGATTTAAGTTGTTGACGTGCTGGCTGATACCCAAACAGGGGATTAGGTGGAGATTGGTCCTTTCACTATTGGCTGCTACTTTCTGGCAGATGTCAGGTGGTGCAATACTGGCCAAACAGTGTAATTTCTCTAGTTGTGTAGGGCGCAGACACCCCGTGATAATGCGGCATGTCTCATTAAGAACCACTTATAGATGTATTTATACATGTTCCGTGGGGGGCATCTACATTGGAGAATGAATGCGGTTTGACACCTCCTTAAGTGTCATGGCTCAATGCTCTAGAATGTTGGGATTTGTAGTCTAGCATTATTTGGCAGAGGAGGTTTGAGCTTTATCAATGACAATTCCCAGGATTCCAGAGCATTGAGCCACAGCAGTTAAAGTGGAGTCAAACTGCATTAATTCCATAGTGTAGATGCATCCATAGATACCTCATACACACGGCCTGAAGGTAATTTAATACACCATCTTTTTCATGACTTAGTGTAGAGCCTTCCAAACATTCATGTGTCAGCTACAATGTATAGGCGTGTTGCATGAACGTAAGGAGAAATCTTTGAGTCTTTGTGAAATAGCAATAAATCATATATTTATATATATATTTATGAATGGAACAAACTAATTTGATGGGACATCAAATTCTGGCTGTTTGGTCAGAAATGGAAAAGAAAAACACAGTCGTATATGATAGATTTGCGTGAAGCCTAAAGGAGTGCATCGACAACAAATTGGATAGGATAGTATAGAACAGGGGTCCTCAAACTTTTTAAACAAAGGGCCCGGTCACAGTCCCTCAAACTGTTGGAGGGCCAGATTATAATTTGAAAAACATGCACAAATTCCTATGCACACTGCACATATCTTATTTGTAGTGCAAAAAGCACGTAAAAACAATACAATAATTAAAATGAAGAACAATTTCAACAAATATAAAATTATTAGTATTTCAATGGGAAGTGTGAGCCTGCTTTTGGCTGATGAGATAGGATTGTTGTTATTGTTGTGCGCTTTCAAGTAGTTTCACACTTAGGTTGACCTTGAGCAAGGGCCGGGTAATTGACCTTGGAGGGCCGCATCCGTCCCCCGGGCCTTAGTTTGAGGACCCCTGGTATAGAATATTAACAGGTTTCCATGAAATATGTTGTGTCCCCATACATAGTCCAGAGGAGGGTGACTAAAATGATTAAGGGCCTGGAGAATAAGCCCTATGAGGAGATCTCAAAGAACTGGGCATGTTTAGCCTGCAGAAGAGAAGACATGATAGCCTTGTATAAATATGTGAGGGGAAGTCATATGGAGGAGGGACCAAGCGTGTTTTCTGCTTCCCTGGCAAATGGGACTTAAAACAATGGCTTCACACTACAGGAAAGGAGATTCCACCTGAACATTAGGAAGAACTTCCTAACTCTGAAGCTGTTCAGCAGTGGAACTCTCTGCTCCGGAGTGTGGTAGAGGCTCCTTCCTTGGAGGCTTTTAAACAGATTGGACGGCCATGTGTCGGGGGTGCTTTGAATGCGATTTATTTCAGTTTTATTTATTTCAATTTTTACCATTGTCATTTTTGCATATAAATGTTTAATACCATTTTAAATATCATATTCAATACTGGGTTTTAACTTTGCTTTTGACAGTGTTTCTTAATACCTGAATGTATATGTTCCTATTCTGATATTTGTACATTTTTGGTGCTGGTTACTGACCATAATAAATAAATATCTATATGTAATATAAATATATAAGCTTTGGATTGCATAGGGAAGGATTAACACCCCTGTGATGTTTGTTTTGGTACCTGTGCAGCAAAGTTTACAAGATGTTACCTTACTTTCTGTCCCTGTGATAATTGGATCTTGAAAAAATTGACTTGTTGTGGAAACAAGGATTGGTGATAAAGCTTCAGTGGAGATACCTTTCTCCCATAACTCTTTCAGGAGTGAACTTCCCATCCTGGGATAGATTTCTTTCATTTCATGTTGTCTCACCCCCTTTCTTAACTATGAATAATTTATAAGTCGCATATTTGTAACTCGGGAACTGTCTGCAGAAGGATGTACATTTCATGAACATTTCTGTGTCCATACTGTCTATATTCATGGTTTTCATTTTTAGGATGGGAGGGTATTTCAGATGAGCTGCTGGGATGAGATAGTGTCTCCTCTTGTGGGCATCTCTTTGTATGTTTAATATTGTTATGTTTTCTGCTGCTTTTAAACCCTGCCAAATTTTGTCTGCTTCTGCCCTGGTGAATGCGTAAAAGCTCCAATGAACACATAGATCTTTATAGCTTTTCCTGCTTCTGAAACTAGACGCTTCCGTATATTTGGACCAGACATCTGGCAGTGACTTATTCACAGGAGCAAAACAAACCCACCTTCTTTTGACCAGTGAATAAATACACTGGTAGGCACCATCTGAGAAAGAGTTGGGAGGAGATAAAGAATGATTGAAGCTCTGCTTTGAAGTTCAGCCCTGTTGGGATGCCAGTTTCCCTTGGTGTCTTTAACCTCGGTTTGGAGACATATATGGGATAATGTTTTCATGCATGTGAGTGTGAATAATGGTGAAATTCGATGACATAGTACTTGCGTGGTTTGTACTCTTGGAATATGTTTTGGAGACTTTTTCTTGCCCTATGACACTGTGTGGGACTTATTAGTAAAGTCTTACACACTGAAAAATTGGAGGAAGAAATACTGGAAGAAAAATACAAATATCTTTCATAAAGTTTCCCTAATATATCATTTTTATGGCCAGGTGTCCAAATGCATCTAAGGCAGTGGTTCTCAATCTGTGGATCCCCAGATGTTTTGGCCTACAACTCCCAGAAATCCTAGCTAGTTTACCAGCTGTTAGGATTTCTGGGAGTTGAAGGCCAAAACATCTGAGTACCCACAGGTTGGGAACCACTGCTCCAAGATTAAAAAACATCTATCATTCCATAGCATTGAGCCATGCTAGTTAAAGTGGTATCAAACTGCATTAATTCAACAGTGTAGAAGCAGTCTCAGTGTCTCTCTATATGTACTACTTTCTTAACTCTTAAAAATACCCCACCCACTAAAATGAATGGAAATAATCTGTCCTGATCCTCCTACTGAGTCTTGTTGCACTGGTTGATGGCCCACATTGTTGTCAGTCTCCCATTAGCTTAGAATTAGAATGGCACCGGAGTGCTATTTTGGGCAGTGTGTTGACTTTTCTCTAGGAACAACAGCAGCAACAAAAAGAGGTTTATTTCAAGGGGTTTATGTTTAAGAGACAGGGACCAAAAGTTGTTGATGATGAAGTTTTACACTTTGACTTCCTTTGGCTGAAAGCCTGGAGCTGCTTTCCAAAAACCAAATAAGCTGTTGCAACATGCCCTGTAGTTTGTGATCTTCATGAGAGGTTTTCCTTATTTTTAAGGATAACTTAGATCATTTTTATAAAACACTTAGCGAGAGAGACTTATTCAGCTTTATCTTGTGCTTTTAATCTTCAGACAAATGTTGATGTATTATGAACAGTCAGCATTATTAGTTCTTTTTCTTTGAGTCTTGTTCAAGGATTTGGCAGTAAAATATGTACTACAAACTGTTCGGAATGGAATATATGGAAAAGTAGAAATTATTGGCAAAACAAGCATCTTTTTTTTTTTTTAACTCTGACGCAAAGGCACTGGAAGCAAACAAAAAAAAACAGAATTATGGAATAGATCTGAAAGCAAGGAGAGTTGATGTATCTGAATGCAATATAATAAGTTCCTTACCAAGTGGGGTGGAACTTATTATATTGTATTCAGATACATCAACTCTCCTTGCTTTCAGATCTATTCCATAATTCTGATTTTTTTGTTTGTTTGTTCCTTACCTAATAAGGAACAAACCTAATAAGTGGGATG